ACTCTTTCCAAGCCATGTGGGAAGAGGGCTCGAGGAGGTTTATCAGACAGGATGGGTCTCTCAGCCTGAGCAGACTCATGCAATCTCTGTTCTGACTCCTGGTTCAGTCACTGCAGCCAACAACAACAACAACAAAAAAAAATCCAAGGGAGGGCTAAGTTAAGCACCTTGTAAAACTTACCAGAGAGCACTCCATCATCATGGTCTTGAAAGAAAAATAAGCTAAAATATTTTATTAACTCTCTTGGCAGCCCCATCTTGCACAATGTAACCTTTAAAAAGAAAGAAGGTCAGAAGGTTAGCTGTCCATTAGCATGAATAAGGAAATGTTCAATACCTATTAATATAAATTAATTGGTTTTTAAAATTCCCGTATGTCCCATTTAACTGCCCATTTAAAAGCAAATATAATGATTCCCATAATCCAGCATTTGAGTTTGTGAGTTTCATAAGTTTCAAAGGAACATAAAAATGTAATAAAATTTAAAATGTTTTCTACTCTGCCATGCATTTAAGTATCCTTTAACACAAGGCATCTGCCATGTTATTCCAGATCTTTACTACTAAATCCTCAGATTCTGTTGTACATTAAGCACCGTGTGCTCTGAGCTAACATTGCTCATGAGCATCACAAATATGTATATTTACAGGATTCGTGTATTTTCCAAACTGATAGAGCCCTCTTGTTTTTCTAGGAAATATCTAGAAGTCCTGCCCCTTTAATGAAAGCACCAGTCTTACTTGCAAAGTTCTGCAGTTCTGTATGAAGGCTTCTGACAAGAGCTGACTTCAGCTCTGTTGAGCTTTCATTATTGACAGTGCATAAGGAGCAAAAATCCTATCCAGCTTGACATTTGGATTGTCTTTAGCTTGCTGTGGCCCCTCTACATCTTTTCTGAAAGTGGTCAGAAGTAGCACCAACAGAAGATGCAGAAATTACTTGCAGGACCAGCTGCACAATGGTTTAGTCGGGAAAGAAAAATCAGACGGAGGTAAGCACAGAAACCACTGAATCAGACTGGGGCAACTGTCTTGTTCTATTTTAAGTCCTGAAAAGTCAAAGCTTAAGTTAAAGCAGCCATAACCTAAAAGAGCACAGTGTCATCAGAGCATTCCTAAATGACCATGATCTCCTGAGTTTGCTCAGGAAAGTGGTGTGGCAACCATATGAAAACCCTCTGCCCCTGAGAATACTCCTGTCATAGCTCATCTGGCAGACTGTGCAACCTGACAGAGAAGTCATGCTTAGGTCGGAGATGCTGGACTTTCTTTGTCTGAGCACCAGGTGGAAGTACCGGTTTTCAGTCTTCTTCTAAAGGGTGCCAATCCCAAAACACTTCCAGCTCTGTGTCACAGTGACAGCATTGTAAATTCACTTTTCTCCACAGTTCAAAAGGGTTTTCTCCAGCTGCATCAGCTGATTTAAAAAGCAGACATAAAAAGGTGCATAGAAAAAAAAAGTAGACATCAAGCTAAATACAGGTTGGGAAGAATTGTTCCAAGTTAAAATTAAAGAACACATTCATGAGGTTTTCCTTATGCTTGTTAATATCAGGGCTGTTACCGGAGAGGGCAGCAGAGCATAAAAATCACTTGCCTCACACTCAGTTCAGACAGCAGGTATAACGGAAGAAAGTTTCACAAGTCCAAGGAGAAAAGAAAAAAGTCAATATTAGCAGCACCATCTTTCATTCTCTCTGCTTCTGTGCTAAGAAGTCCCCACAAATTACTTCAAGAAATTAGCAAGAGTTTCAATATGTTATCGTTTAGTAGCATAATACTAAGCACACCAGATGGCATTTCCCAGGAATGTCAAACATAGATCCTGGATTCAGTAGGATTTTGACTTTTTTATTTCTTGGATCAAAGCACAAGCTGGTATATGCTGCCTGGCCACCAGGATGTTAGGGAGCAATGGTTGCAAAAATCCATCTCCACTGCAAAAGAACAGTGACTGTGGTAGCACATTTACAACAGAAGCTAAATAATTCCTAAAAGTCCTATCTCATCTTTAAGACCATGAGAGAAGAAAGGGTGTCTGCAGCATTTCAAATGTCATTTTTTCTTTAAAGTGCCACATAAATGTTAAACATCTATAAATGCAACACACAAAACCACTGTCTGGCTTGAAAATTACCTTGACCCACTGCAAAACTAACAAGGTTATCAAGACCAAATTATTAGTATTTTTTAAAGTATATTAGCAAATCTTTTCCTTACTCAAGTTCCTTATGCAAGTCTCCTATCTAAAAATGTCTCCTTACCTCTTCCACCCTATTAGCGCCTACTTCACTCTCCCCAAATCAAAATTCTTATCTCCTTGCCACCTCCAACACTTTACCTTCAGCATCTCCCACGCCACAAATCTCCTGTTGCAGGGTCTAAGGCCAACTCTGACACTTACCTTTCCCTGGAAGAACTGGTCTCAGCATTGCCTCAGGTGGTGCCAACCCCATGGCAGAACAAAGCCACCAAGGGGTTACCCTGTGTTATCCAACTCATGGTAACTGCACAGATCCTGTGTGTTCTGTGGCCAGACTAACACACCCCAGCTTGACAGAGGAGGGTGAATATGTGTTCACCTCACTTGTACCTGCGGCCAGCTGAGAACTACCTCCACAAATTCGGACTGCAAAGGCACAACAGAAATACAGTGCACAATTTTCTGTATGATGAGAGGAAATTTCAGATTCCCATGACAAAGAAGAGTACCCATCTGGCAGGTGTATGCTTCGTTAACTGCTGTTAAGATTAGGAAATGGGAGCAACTAAGGAAGAGGACTTCGGCCTTGCTCGTGCACACACACGTGCAAATCCACCAAACATGTAGAGCCGCTGCTCCTCCTCTCCTGGCATAAGGAGGGAACCCCAGCTGAAAGTTTCAAACACAAGCCCAGCAGTTGTGTAAACAACATTTGGTTGCTACTAGTTTCAAAATGTAGCTAGCAGTTGTTTACTGTATGTATAACACCAGCTGTCATGGACATCCCAGAGCCACAGTGCCAGAGCTGTGCCAATATCGCAAAGGAAGTCCCACAGTTTCACAGCAAACATCGTGGGACACAAAACAAGCAAAGGAGAAGCAAGCAGAAAAAGAGGATGCAACAGTTTCATGGTAAGTTTTAACAACACTGCACCTGCTAAGACAAAAGCCAAGCCTAGACCATCATTTCTGACTACAGTGTTCAAGCACTTTGACTCACACTACGCTAAACCAAAGAGGGGGTTAATTAAGATTGTGTCCCCATAAGCAATAGTATATATTTTCTGATTCTGTCATATTCTTTCTGCAGTGTCTGGTGTCTGGATATCAAGTCTAATATTGCTGCCATCAGCAAGGTAAAGACCTAGAAAGAGTCTCTGGGTTTGGTTCTTAAATGTGTCCTGTTAGGTAGAAACAGAATAATACTTTTATTGGTCTGTACACTGCTGGAACCCTTCTGAAGATGCTGATGCTCCATTTCCCTATGTAGTCCAGTAAAATAAACAACTGAGATTACTATTTACTGAACAGTAAGTTACTAAAATTACTATTGCAGATGACAAAAAACCTGTGCAGAACAGCGAGTGGGAAGATACTGTAGAATTAGAGGAGGGTCACTTTGATGTTAAACTGAGCACAGATTACTCAGTCTCTCAGTATCTGTAGGAACAACGCTGTCACTGTCCTAGGAAGTAGAGACTCCTAAAAAAAAGCAGAAGCAGACAAACAGCTGCATGTGAATAGTCAAAGTCTCAATCTTGCCAAAAGGAAAAAATGCATCCCTGTACCTATAAATAGGAAAGTCTCCAGTGAGGGCATCTTAATACACCAGAGCCACTGCCACGGGAATATTGTGCACAGTGCCAGCGGTCAAGGTTCAAAACCACCACAAACTGAGGAGATGCAAAGAGGAAACCAGAAAACATTTAGGTCATGAAAAAAACGGGCCTCGTGGTAAATGACCTCAGAAAACTTTCTGATGTTGAGACATAAGAAAGGGGTGATATCAATCAGGAAAACTGAAGCACAGAGGCCAGATCCGTTGGCTGTCAGGTGACGACAGATGCAGTCAGACTAGAAGCAAAGCACAGATTTGTAACAGTGAGGTAGCGCACACAAACGCTGTATTCTCCACCGGTTTTACATTTCCCTAAAGTACTTCCCTGAGCTCAAACTCAGAAAGCCTCACGCCTTGCTGTGCATGAGAAGTCAGACTTACCTGTTCCAAGAGGATGGAGTTTGAGAACTCCCCTGGGGACACATCTGGATGAAGTGGCAGAAACTCCTTGCTGCAGCTTCTCTGACTGCTGACTGCCCTGTATCAGAGGACAGCAACAGTCCTTCTGGCATTTGTATTAATTAAGGAGAGGTGCTTCCCTTGAGATCCATAGTGAAGGAAAAATGCTGTAATTGCACATACTGCATGTAATATTAAATTTTGATTTCTTGCATCCACCTTTGCTAGCCTGGTGGAAGATATGGGAAAGTCCCTGAGAGCCATTAGGTTTCAAGTACTCTTAGTATCTTGCTGCAGGGTCTTCATGGTGCCTGTATATAAGAACATCTCCTGACCCCTGTGATGTCAGCAAAAGCAGGGTGGCAGGGCTGACATTTAGGCTGTGTGCTCCATTACCCACCTTTCAGTACCCTGGAGAACATGCTAAGATGTACGACTCCAATTAACTAACTCAGCTCAGACTCATAACTTTTTTGGGTCAGAAGGACCATATTTTCCAGTAAATCTAGCTTAATTAAGAGTTATCTCAAGGTAAGATCAAATACAAACAAAATGTGCATTCTTCCACATCATCTAAAAATTAAGAACATAACAACAAAAGTTTGTAGAATTATATGTGGGGGGGAAAGGTCTTGAGAAAAAACAAAACAAAACAGTCTTTCTTATTTAAACAGACTTTCTACAAAATTTCCTGACACCCAGTATTTCACCTAGCTTCATGCCTACACATCTGTTTGCACATATTAAAAACAAGATAAAGTCTTCTCAAGGCATTAACCAATGACCTGTCTGAAGTCCTGGGGATCCACACGGATTTAATCTTTATTCCCAAATGAACTTCCTTCTTATCCAGGGGACAGGGTCTAGTCATTCTTCTTAATTAAAATAAGCATTACTTTACTTCTGTGGAGACACAAAAGCTCCTCTCTCTTACACTGAGGATCATCTCCTGTGCTCACCTTACTACTTGCCTCAAACAGGAAGGAGCAGACACTTCCTCACAAATGCCTTTGGCACACACATTTTGGTATGAAACATTTCACATGTGATAAAAGTGTATGTGAAACATGGAACACATATGGGGTGCAAACATCAGAATGAGATAAAGACATGTAACTCATTACTGACTCTTGACAAAGTGCCAGCAGGCCACTTGCTATATAGCCAGTTTGCTGCCCAGGACTCAGCAGTGCTGGGGGGTGAAGGCGAGTGCAAAGGCTCACACACACAGTAAGAGCTTCTGAGTGTGGGCTGCTCTCCTGGTTTCACTGAGACAGAATCATAGAATTAATTCTTGGTCAGAAAAGCTGCATTTTAAGAAGACTGCAGCACCCAATTTGGTGAGAACAAAGTTGATAAGACACTTTGTTTTAGTTCATGGCCACCATGGTATGTGGGTTTCCACAGTGATCAAGGTCTCCAGCAGTTCAGAGCTAGCCAGGTGCTAAGGCTAGGAGGAGAGAAAGCCAGGACAGCTGACCCAAGCTGGCCAACAGCAGTGTTCCATACCATAAATGTCACACTCACTATAAATTGGAAAGTTTGCTAGGGACAACCCTCTCTTTCTCAATGGCCACCATCCCTGGAGGGTCTCGCCCATCATTCTGCTCCCAACGCCTACTCTGCTGCTTGGGACTGTCACGCTTTTGTCAGCTGAGTATAACTTTGTGTGTTTTATAGTAGTATTAGTTCTTCTTCTTATTATTATTTCATTAAATCTGTTTTCATTTCAACCCTCAGGTCTCCCTTCCTTTTCCCAACTCCGCTGCCCCAGGGGTGAGGAGGGGTCATTGGGTGATAGAACAACTGACTAAACCAAGACCCCTGTGTGCGCTGAAGCTCCCATAGGGAAAGGGCACGGAGGACTTTGCGCATCTGCTTCTGCCAGATCCTCACTGCTGCTCCTGCAGCTTTCACAGCCTGGGTACAGGACACCTCACCCACTGTGGCAGCCCAGGGTCAGAGACACAAAGGTCACTTTACCCTTCTGCCACTCAGAAGGGGACTCAGACCTCACAGCATGCTGCCCTACTTGCCACCTCACTACTTGGCAATCAGGAGGGGCAGAAGAAAAGCATGATCCAAACTTTCAGCTACTTCCAAGCTGTTTGACATCTCAAAGAACACCATGCAACATATTAGTAGGCAGATTAATCTGAGGATCTACAAGAAAGGATGTATTAGAGAAAAGAAAATCTTGGTCCCATCTAGAATGGTCACATTAAGTATCACTGTTTAATAGTTATTAAAGCCAGTGGTTTCCACAGTCTTCTTTTAAAAACTGCTTTAATTTCTCTTATTTGATTCCACTGAACTACAGGTACAGCTTCATTTCATGGTCTTGGGAAAAAAATTACCTATTTACTTATCTCCATCTTTTTGATTACCGTTCTTTTAATATAGCTGTGACACAGCAAACCAAAAATAAGAATTATCTTAAACTGTTGGGTTTGGGGATTTTCCCCCCCCCCTTTATCACATGCTTTTACCCCAGAAGGCAGAACTGTCCATGACAGAAACTCCACATATTGTTCAGTGTTATAAATATTTGTGTTTAGCCTCTTATCAGCAAAGTATTGTTGAGACAAAAAAAAATCACTTACATAAAAACAAAAGGAGGAAACAGGGCAGCCTGTAAGGCAGGAGAAGACAGTGTTAAGTGAAGAAATACAAATACAGACATGTCCCTGAAATAACACAAGAGCATCCAGCATAACTAATACAAATACAAAGGGAAGAGCATTTATCAGTGCTACTGATAATCCATTTAGTGAGTGCACACAGCACTTCCAAAATGGACAGAAAAATACTTTTGAAATAAATTTGCAGCAGTGAGCCAGAAAAGTTAATGTTTTCTCCCAAGTTGATATTTGTTTTGTAAAAGGCAGTAGAGTCATTGTCTCATCTACTCAAAACAGGCACCAACATTAAAACCCCCTGTATTTTTGGCAACAGTACAGGTCCAGCAGTAGTTTTCACATTTCCTACACGTTTGATCCTGACATTCAGGGAACATGCCATGCCATGCAACTAGAATTGGACACTTTCTTGTACCCCTTAATAATGCTTATTTGAATCTTCCCTTAACACTGTCACTGTTACCTGTGGTAAAATCTCCTGAAACATCTAGAACTGCTGCCTGCTCCCTACTTCACTGCCCCAGCAGCTTGAAGCACAGCTCAGTCATTAATATAAGAATAAAGAATAATACAGAGATGGTGAGGGATTTTCTTAATTTTTTGGTTTTGATTAAAATTACAGTTTTGAAAAAACAAAACAAAAAAACCCCCACCAAACCACAACACCAAAACAAACAAAAACCCACAAAATTGACAAAAAACCCCAACCAACCAAAACTCAAAAAAGACACCTGTTATATATTTCCCCCACAGGAAAAAAGATATCTAGATATCTTTGTCATTATCCATTTTTCCATTAGAAAACTTAAAATTAAGTGATTTTGTTTTAACAGAAGTCAACACCAATCTGAACCCTCTGCAAGGTCTCAATGGATTTGTTGCTCAGCTAAGAAGCGTGGGCCATAAAAAGAGAAAGGGTGACAACAGAGGCTCTTTATTACATCTTTGAAAAGAACAGCAGGTCAGGGGACTGAATTTCATCTTAATGTTGAAACAAAAATAAACCAGACATAACTTGAATTAAAATTTTTCAGAACCTTCTATGCCAGTCGCCCCAGGCCAGCAGACAGCAAAAGTCTGAAAGTATGGGAACTTATCACATGAAATTAAGATTTCTGGCCAGCTGGACTTTTGAAAAAGAACTTTGTAAATAAGAAACCAAATGTGGTTTGATATAAAAAAAATAAAAAATTAGAGTGGTACTGAAATAATGGATACTCTGACTTCTGCTTGTGTACACACACATCCAAACACATTTGTGAGTTACTGTGAGTGAGTGCAGAGGAAGCTACCAGCACACATTCCTCTATTGCATGCACAACTGGTAAGTGTGTCGTGAGTGCACGGAGAAGCAGAGGCTGCATGGTCAGAGACAGGGGCTCTATCCAAGAAAACGGAGCCCATGGTCAGATCGGCTTTGATTTCTGGTAACACCTGCAGATTTCTGAGTTACATTTTGCCTACACCCTCAAAGGCACAAACACCACAGCTGTCTTATGGTATTGAATTCTTGGCCTCATGCTCGCTCGTCAGAAGGAAAACCACCTTACATCAGAGTCCTTTGATGAAGGACCACATAAGAACACTGGTTTTTGCCTGTTATCAGGCACTAGTTGGCTCTACTCGCTCAAGCACTCAGAAACTTTTCATCTGTCCTTTCACCAACACCTGAATCATTTGCTCATGCTAAAGGCTGCTGTTTGCCAGCCACACAGACTGGAAAAGGTCAGCCTCCTAGATCACCAACTCCAAACTCTGCTGCTGCAAGGAAATTTGTCTCAATTTAATTTATCAATGCATAAGGACTGGCTATCCTCACAGCTGCATCCTGAATACACCACACTACTCCATGGGTGACCAATGCAGAGACAGACCATGACCTCAGATTACATTCAAGGATATAGATGAGCTGCATTAAAATGAGACTGATTGGGATGGATGTACCTGCTCATACTGTCTTTCTCCCAGTGAAAAAGGAGAAGACACAACACAGTCACAATGGTCTCATCTCATTAATGACTTCTTGCAAGAACTGTGCAATTTGTCTTCAGAGGCTGGAGGTAGTAGAGCATATACAGAACCTGCCTCTCCAGCTTGGTCACTGGCCAGGTTTGCAGAGTTTGGAAGAGCTGAGGGGCAGGGAAGTTGTGGGTTAGGTTGCTCAACTCTGCTACATGATAGTGTTGGTAATTATTTCAGCAATGTTCGTTTTGAGTGAAGCTCCCCATGTGTCAGGAGCCCTGCTACCCCTGACAACTTCTCCCATGAGATCAGGTTGCTGGGGAAACAGCCAGAGCATGCCTGCTGTAAGGAGCAAACCATAACAACCCATGCAACAGGTAAAGGTGGCACTGGGCAAAACCAGGGGCCTGGAAAGCAGGGTTAACCTGCATGGGCTTGTCCCTGCTAGAAAGTTTGCCCTGTGAGGCAAGATCAGGGG